GGAACGATTCGTACGAACCTTTAAAAATGCTATAAGAGGATTTCCCCGCACAGAAATTTAAACCCAGCTTACCAACTTCCTAATAGCCTATAGAAACACTCCACATCCAACCACGAAGCAAACCCCAGCCATGCTATATCTAGGACGCAAGATCAGATGACCATTAGACCTCCTCCATGAAAAATCAGCATTTCACACCACAAACTACCCGGTTCAGCCCGATCTAAGGAATGGGGATCTAGTATGGGTGCGAACACCCCCAAGCATTCCTAACCCACGATGGGGAAAAGGAACTATAATAGAGGTTCTAGGATCTGTCGTTTATTACGTGGAAACAGCTCAAAAAGCCCGACGATACCATCGCCGAGATATCCGACTTCGACGGGAACCCGAAAATCAAGAAGAAGAGCGTACAAACAAATTCAACAACCTACCACCCCGGGATAGCCATATTTAAGAGGGGAGGAAAATACCGTATTCCCACAAAAACACCTTTCTTTTTTTTTTGATTTTATATATATTGATTATTTATTTTTTTGTGGTCTTCCACCTATTACAAATCCCTTTTTTTTTATTATTAGTCGTTTTTTAATCCGCTCTGAACCAGTGGTGCGGCGAATGCCGTTTTAGTTATTTTATTGACTTAAGGTAGGGTTTACCTTTGTTTTTAAATCCGCTCTAAACCAGCGGTGCGGCGAATGCCGTTTTAGTTATTTTATTGACTTAAGGTAGGGTTTACCTTTGTTTTAAAATCCGCTCTAAACCAGCGGTGCGGCGAATGCCGTTTTGGTTTATTTTTGGTAGGAATTAAAAATGAAATTGGCGCCGACGGCCGGGTAGCCGTATTTAAGAGGGGAGGAGTGTTATGTTCTATCCCCCCCCTCCTTATTTCTTTTATTTTTGTTTCTCCTTGTTTCTTTTGTTTTCCCATCTTCTTTTATTTTGTTATGAAATTAATATATTATACCTTATTTTTATATTGCATTTGAAACTGGTTCTTACCAGTTTCATGAATGATTATATCGCGATTAAATAACAACTTTTTCTTTTCCCCCTTTGTTTTAAAAATTATAAAGGTGGAAAACAAAACACCATTAATCATTTTAATATTTTTTTTTTGTAATAGAATTTCTTTTTTTTAATTGTAATTTCTCTGATTCGAATAAACTTTAAAACTTACGTTGTCCAAGTGATTCCATGACTAAATCGATAAAACCCGGCCCCCTGGATCCAGTCATTGACCATCCCGGACCCCCGATCACGGACTGTATTATTCCCCTTTAGACTGGGGGACCCATCGGTTCAAATACAACAGTATGTGATAAGGGGAGTTAAATAATCACGCTGCACCGACTCTGGTTGGTGGACTTGAATGAGATGACTACCTAACCTAATGAGATGACCAAGAACCAAGAAAATTCTCTAGCACGTTCTTTCACTCCAAAAGCTTCTTTATTCATGGTGCCCCGGCTCTGGGTGTTGGACTGGAATATGATAACCAGCACCTAACCTAATGTGACAACCTAGAAAGAACTGATATGGAAGTTGAACGATAGGCTATGAATTCTATATAGTGAAACCAATGATGATTTACAAATAATTCTAAAATCCACGTAAGAAGGAAAGTTATTATAAATTAAATTTTATGCCGAGATAAAGGCATGGTATAAATTAACTTATTAAAATAACTTAAGTAAATCAATCATAATGGACATATTTGAATACATAAAAGGCCTTAAAAAAATATTTACTTAATAATGAATTAACAGTTGATTTTCTTAGTGAAATGCCTATTGATATTTTTCATATTCTTGAATTATGACCAATTGTGTAAATTAATTGAGTTATCTTATTTTTAAATATAATTAAAAATATGACAAAGTTAAACCATTAAAAATCCTAAACAAGAAGATAACACTAAGTCTATATCAAAATGTAATAGAAACATATGTATTAAAAGATTAAAAAGATAAAAATCATATAAATTGATTTAAAAAATTATAAAATTAATATAACTCTTATAAGTAATACTTAATGTGATAAAAAGTTTTTGAAATTTAAAGCTTTGAAGACTAAAGGTTATGTAAAAACTAAACATCTTCATTTTAGAAAAATATTTAAAAGATGTGATGAGGAGATCATTTTCTAAAAATTATCTTATGAAGAATTATTATTTTAAAAAATAACTTTTTGAATTAAAACTAGGGTGTGAAATTTAAATTTTTTATTAAAGAGAGGGAAATGTGCATAATATTTATTCGCATATTTTAACCTCAGGATTGAAAATATTAATATATAAATATAAATATAAATATTTAAACATTAAAACGCGAAAAAATAAATGACACTAAAACGCGAAAAAATAAATTGGACACTAAAACGCGAAAAATTAAAACGCTGAAAATATTATATAACAATCTTATTGATTTATCATTCTTCACTTTTTTATATCCAACTGAATGAATTATTATTTCTAATTATTCGTGACTGACGTATGATAATAACAATTTTGAAAATTGATAATAATAACAACTGGGCAAGCTATATGACAAATTCACAATTCATGAGGACAACTTTCGTTAAGGATATCAAGCTTACGATTTAAACAAACCAACGACTAGGACAAACCAACGATAGGGACAAGCCAACGATTAAGATGACTTATGCGACAACTTGCTCTCTAGGACTGCTTAGATGAACTTATGGGAAGGTTTTTTTAGAAGAGGGAGAATGTTATATTATAGAAATTAATAAATTTATATTGTATAATTTGGTTATTAAATAGTATATGTTTATTATGTAACGCGCATTCATTTAACTTATTTAAATTATTTATTTTAGTATTACTTTTCGTTTTATAACTTAACCTTTTAATATTATATACTAATTTTAGTTTGTAAAAAATTTATAAATAGTAGATTGAAAAAGTAATAAAATGAACATTTTAATACATTCTTTATTTTAGTGTTCTGAGGACTTCTTCTTTCTTCAGTCTGGCAAAAATATTATTTATAATTTTTTTTTTTTAAAAAATGTAAAATTATATCTAGAAAATAAATTATTGTTTATTCGATTGGTTTATGATTTTTTTTCAGACCAATTTAGTATATATTTTACTTGTCCTTGAAATTATTTATCGAAGAATTTGAAAACATATGAGGGCCATATTTAAGAAATAAAAATGTTATTCATTTAAATAATAAAAAGTAATTTTAATTCTTTAAAATATTTCTAAAGAAATTTATTTTTCTTATCAACCGATATAAATCTAGGGCTACTTAAAAAATAAATAATGAGTATTAATTATTATTTTGTCTATCCGTTAAAATTGAAAGAATTAGATGCTACTATGACTAGTGTTGTTACACGGCTCGTTTTCCGATATTTAAAAACGGCTAACTCAATATTTTAGCCAGAAAAATATAGCCTAAGCCCTGAGATTCTGCTAATAGATGTCTAAACCTTTGTTCTACAAACAAATTCTTCAGGTCTTGTGAATATTATTCTAGATGAAATATTGAGTTAGCCGTTTTTAAAAATCGACTCAAAACGAGCCGTTTTATAACACTAACCATGACTATTGGTTTATTTCAATGTGAACAATAACATAATTGCAAGTTGTAAAAATAATATTTATTCTTAAGTGAAATATTTATGTTTATATATTCGAATAAAAGTAAAATAAAATGAGAATTTAAAGAGAATAATATAATTAAGATAATGTTAAGATAAAATTTAAGGATAAATATACATTTCTTCAAAATAATAAATATATATATTTATAAATTTTTCATTTAGGACACTGCCTAAAAAAAACGAAATCATTTAAGTTAGGCATTATATAAAAGGCCCAAAGAAATAATATTAAAATCAGAGATATGCAGAACCGACCCTAAACCCTGACAGGGCCTAATTTTAATATGTTTTTTATATACCCAGGTCGGTCCTAAAAAATTTTTTTTTAAATGCCCGAATCGGCATGGGGCTATTTTAAGAAAATTCTCGAATTAAAGATAAATAAAATATATTTTAAAAAAAATAAGGCCAGCTGATCTTTTCTAAAATCCGAGAGTGGCAAAAAAAAATTTTGAAAAAAAATCCCGATGTGGTGCAAATTGTACTTCTGCAGCTGATTAAAATAATAGTAAATTGAGTTCAATTTACTCCTTACACAAATAACCAAAATAATATTAAAAAAAGCATTTTTACCCTCAAGAGATTAGAGTCTCATTATAAAAACTTTCTACGTAAAATGGGGTCTAAATTGTTTTATTTTATGCATATATATATATATATGGTTAATCAAAAAAATTCCCCAGGATAACACTATCCACTGTTTCTCTTGAATTAATATTATAATTTATTTGAAATTAATTTTATATTATATTTTTATAATTATTATAATTTATTCAAATTTTTTATTTAAATTATTTTTTAACTTTATTATATTAAATTATTTACTTTTTTAAGCAACTATAGCAGATATAATTAAGAATCATCAATTTTGTAGAAATCAAAATATGCTTGACTGCATTAAATTAGCGAATGCATATTTCGGCTCTTTATTAAAATTTTCGTAAAATTATATCAGTTTGTAATAAGTCCTTGAGCAAGAAAGAAAGATAGCATTTTTAGGCATATGACATACGGTACGAGCATCATATACTAAAATAGTCTAGTAAAAAAATAGTAATAAATTTTTAACCTAACATAAAGATTTTTTTTTTATATTAAAAACAAAAAAATTCAATATAAAAACATATAATTAAAAGAAGGGAAATTAAGAAAGAAAAAAATTAAAAAAAATTATTTAAAAAAAAAAGAAAAAAAAGAGGGATATCTAATTAGGTGTGGTCCACGGGGCATAATATATTAATTTTATTTAATTTTTTAATAGAAATTACAAAGAAAACAAATGCCTTTTATTGAAAATTTGACACTAATTCTTGATATAATAAAAGATATAATCTGGTCGATATTTAGTACATTGTCTACTTACATTAAGTTATAAAATAATTATTTCATTTAATCATATAAGAATGGCTGAATATAGTTTGTTCTCTAAAATTACTCCATATCTTGATAAACATTTACTGTTTCCTCTACTTGAGAATATGACTAATAATCCAGTACTTGTGAATAAAAATATAATTTTTTAGAAAATTTAATAATTACCATTAATTGTATTCAATCAAATATATTGCAAACTATTATTTTAATATTTTTTAAGAATTATGACCAAAAGGTATTAAATGATGTCAAGCTAAGGCTGTTGCAATCAACTTTTATGGTTGATTATGCTATCGAATTATATAACAATCCAAATGATGTGCCACAGGGTATTCTTGATATACTATTTTTATTTTAACTATTACTAACATACCAAATAATTATATTATTGCCTAACTAAGATTTTTGAATAAGCGACTACAATATTTTGATATATATTCTACCTGAAATTTGTCATTGATCTCATATTATTGCAATATCAATATGATATTTTATTTTATTTATCATCTAACTTTGAATCAATGCTATAATAAAAAATTTAGTACTTTCTATCAAAAAAAAGTAAACTAACTTTTACAAAATATTAAGATATCTGTTTTTTTTCAAAAAAAAGTTAATTATCTTATTTAAAATATGGGCAATGTTTATGGCTGACTATAATATTGTTGATTAAGATTTTCTTCAAAGTATTATTACAGAAGCCTTAAAATTTTAACAAATGTTCAAAAACGTTTGACCAACTATGCAAAATCTTCAAGCTTGGTTCTTATGTCTAACCTAGGTCTAATTTTTTTTAATATTGTTTTGACCATGATCAGAACCAAAATTTCAACCTTCAAATAATTATATTTCCAGAAGATATTAAGGGGATTAAAGTGGGAAAATTAACCTATTTTTTTTACTATTATTGATTTTCATTTATTAAAAATTTACTTAACAAAGCCTTATTGCAAAATATAGTGTAGATAGGGTTGTAAGCCACATTCTCAGGAGATTTTTGCCAGAATAATATTATGTAATTGGATTTTTTCCAAAGATAGTCAGTTATTTTATTTATTGTGCAAAATCCAAAAACATTGTATTGATGAGAGGGTAAAAAATATTTTAATTTTTTTAAACTAATATCACTCTACTACTACACCTTTTATATTTATTTTAAAAAATTGCGTGAGGTTGACAAGGCTACATATTTCCAAAAATTTTTAAAAAAGGGTATGAATGACAGTAAATTCCTAATTGGCATAATTGTAAATGATATAATGTTTTTTTTGACATATTAGATATAATTTATTATTGTGTAAATATTTGATTATAAAAGTTTTGAAACGTTAAAAAATATATATATGTCTTGTACCGATAAAATCAATTTCAATTATTGAAAATTTGAGTCAACGAAAAAACAATACTAAATTTTAAGCAATCGAATTATTTAATTTCAATCTTGACCCATTTGACCTTTTTTTGCCTTATTTATTTATTTTTTAAAATTTCTTTAAAATTCTTCTTTAAACAAATAGAGTGGATCCACACACTTTTTAAAAAATCCGTTTAAAAATAAGTTAAGATATGGAATATCATTTTTTTTGATAAAACATGGTCGCATAAATATTTTTATCGATTTTATTTGACTTCAAAAATGATATTAATTAAATATTTTTGGAAATTATTATAATTTGCTTCATGAATTTTAATTTAACTTTTCGTATATATTTATTAAAAAAATATAAGGTATAAAATTTATTCATAAAATACAACTTTTTTTAAAAAAAAATCTAATCTAAATAATAAAAAAAAATCAATGATTTAAATAGCTTCCGATTTTTTTACTTTATGTTTGGAAATTGACTTTAAATCAGTATTGTTTAATTTGATAAGTATTTCATATTCATCATTTTTTTAAAAAATATAGTTTAATAGAATATAATATATAAATAACAATATCTAAATTATTGTTGAATAATCTAATCAATGATTGCCACTTGACTCTCAGCTGATAATATTGATTTTGTAGGAATCTATAACTAGATAATTTTCACCCCCCCCCCCCTTCCCCAAGAACTAAAATGTGCATAATGATCAGCAAGAATATGAGTTTAAGGCATGCCAAGTATGCTTCTCCTTATTATATACATGTATTATATTATTGGTTTTTTTTAATGCGCAGAACTGTTAGAGAAGCGTAGGACAGTGTTGGAAATTCTGGCGGAAGCCGTAAGTGCTGCCGAACCCATAAATCAAATCATATCTTTACCGGAGGCAGTGGCACTGATCAGTAGGGAGAGAGAGTACACAGTCCTTTACCAAAATTTGAAAATAGAATTTAATTTTGACCCCACCATGTTGGAACATCTTTATAAAGTCGCACGCTTGCGTTTTGAATGCGGGGATTACTTATACGCTGCCAACAAACTGGATGCCTATCTTTCACTTGTGAGTTTTTGAAAAATATTATTATTCTCCCTACCTCTACATTACATAGGAAGTAGTGTTGTTTTGAACCGATTTTTTTAAAAGCGGATAACTCAGGATCTCCAGAAAAAAAATGGTGCTTAGGACCCGAGATTTTTGCCAATATATCTCGGGTCTAGAATTGGAGTGCTCCACTCGACATTTTCAAACATTCACTGAGTTAGAAGTGGATGATAACTTATTTATTCCCAACATATATATAAAAATAAAAACTAGATTAAAAAAAATATTAATTTTAGCCCAAAGTTTTTGTTCAAAATTGATCGATAACTTTTTTCCTATAATTTTTTTACTTTAAACTTTAATGTTGATTTTCTCATTTTAAACATTTGCGCAGATGGAACACTCCAATTCTAGAGCGACCATTTGTCTAGAAGACCTTTGTGCCTTCTATGAACAAAATCTTTAGACTCGCATAACATTTGCGCAGATGGAACGCTCCAATTCTAGAGCGACCATATGTCTAAGACCTTTGTGCCTTCTATGAACAAAATCTACAGACTAGCGTAGCATTTTTTCTGGAAAAAATACCGAGTTTGCCGTTTTTTATCGCTTCGAGTAGTTTTAATTCAAAATTTTCACGCGAAAACACATGTTATCGATAACTTTTTTTCTCCGAATTTTTAGGTTCAGTCTGCCTCGTCACTTAATTTTTTTGTTTTTTTTATTATAAAATGAGATCACGTGCATAAACGTTAAATTATATTCTTTAAAAAATGGCCAACTTCCGGTTCTGATGTCTAGCTCGAAAATTTTTTCCCCCAGATTTATACGCTTCTAACACGTAATTTGTTCATGATTTTTATCATCCCTATATATTTTATCAGATAACCATGAACCATCCCAATTTCAAAACCGCGCTTTGGGGTAAACTGGCCTCGGACATTTTGAACCAGTTTTGGGAGCATGCGCTCAACGAGTTCAAACAGCTGAAGGAAACTATAGATAATAAAGTATAAAAAAAACGAACAACGATATAAGGGATAAACTGGTGTAAAGAGAGAAAAATTTTGGGAGTAAGGAAAGTGAGGATATAATATGTATTTTATCCAAAATTTTTCTAGATAATCTTAAATTTCATACTTATTGAAACATTTATACTTATTTGTAATTTTAAATACATGGAATTACACAAAAAAATAAACTCTATAAGTAATTTAAATGCATGGAATTAAAAAAAATAAATAATAAATTCCATTTTGTAATTTAAATACATGGAATTACAAAATTTTTTTTAAAATAAACTCTATAAGTAATTTAAATACATATAATTACAAAAAAAATAAAAAAAATTCTATTTGTAATTCAAATACATGGAATTACCAAAAAAGAAACAATAATCAAAATACAAGACTTACTTTAAACACTGAAACACAATTCAGCAGTTCTTTATGTCACCTTTAAAGATTCGGCTTGAGTTTAAGGTATATCGGACTTAGAAATCCTCAATTGGAATTTTTTTCAGCCAATACCGCTCTCCCACTCGTTATTTATTAAAAAATATTTTTTTAACGCGCCCCGATTGGTTAAAATTCTTTAGAAAACTCTACGCCCTCCCCTGCTGGAGAATGGGCTGGTGAACTAGAAATTCGCCCTTTCGAGTTAGAGGTTTGCAAATGGCGGACGGGTTTTTAGCCCGCAAGCACGCCCGTCCAATATTTAAAAAATTTTACCCGCTAACCCGTCCGCCAACTTAGATAGGCGGGAGGGCTAAAACCCGGGGGGGGGGGTCAAGTCGACAGACCTCTAATTCAAGTTACATCATTTATTTACACTATACATAAACGTAACAACGCAGGTTTATAAGAACGAAGTGGAAAGCTTGCAAGAAAGGACTTGGTTATTACATTGGAGCCTCTTTATTTATTTCAATCACCCGGACGGAAAAGAACACCTGATCGACTTGTTCCTCTACCAAATACCGTTTGTGCATAATAAATAATCTATCCGGCTTTTATTTTATTTTAAAAATTTAAACGCTTTTGGTTTTCGAACCCCCAGAAAAAATAAAATAAAAATACGAACGAAAAACGCGCACGAGGAAAATTGATTTTAAATTTTCTAATTTTTATTTTACATATATATATTATATCTAATTTAAAGATATTTGAACATAATTCAAACGGTGTGTCCCCATTTGCTACGCTATTTGACGGCCGCTGTCATAACCAGTAAAAGGAAGAAGCAAGCCCTGAAAGATCTGATTAAAATATTCAAACAAGTTGTTTTTTTTTTATAAACAAATAAAAGTTTTTTAATTAATATTCGAATAATAAAAATAATTATAATTTTTTATTTGATTCCACTAGGAATATTACGCTCACAACGATCCCTTAATCGAATTCATGGTCAGTTTATTCGTCGATTGCGATTTCGAAAAGGCCAAGAAGAAGATGTTGGAATGTGCCATCGTAAAAATATAATTTAAAAATATTTTGTAGGGAAACAAGGGAAAAATAATTCCTACTCAAAAAAAACACTCAAATTTTTTTTTTTTTGTAATCTGAGAAAGGGTGGGATTTACATCTTAAGAAAGAAAGAAAGAAAGAAAAATATTAACTTTGGGAAAAAATTGAGGGTTCCTTTTCCTTATTTTATAACAACACTCTTCTTTACTATAGATTTATTTTTCCCATAAATTTTGGTCACGGCACCATTTATATGTATACAACATATTAAAGTATATATAACATATAAATAGAATAATGGAAAATGTTAATATAAGATTACCCTTTATTGTGTAATGATTAAAATCTGATTTCCAATTTATATCACGATAAAGTTCAACTAAAAATTAAGAAAAAATTAAAAGTAATATCCAAATTGAAAATGATAATATAATAATAATAATGCGTGTATGTTCTCAATTTTCCCTTTTCTTCTTTCTATTCATCACCATATGTGTATATTTGTAAAAAATAATCTCATGCATAACTAGGGACCTGGAGTGAACAGTTAAACCATTATAAACCGTTATAAATATCAGAACCGAAATAATTATTTTTTGAAGGAGTAAAAAGAAGCTTTATAAAGAAAGGTTATAAACCGGTTCAGATTTTAATATTTTAGGAATCAAAAAAATTTGAATATCCAAAATTATATTAACTTGCTCCTATAGTACTGGCGGTTCCCGCAACGCCGGTTTCTGTAGAAAGGACCTTTTCGAGGCTAAAATTTGTGTTATCGTGACAACAAACAAATATTAATCCATTTACATTAGAAAATATATTATACTTATAATTATATTTAAAAATCAATTATTTCGAATCTTATATATTTTTTTTTATATTATAATTCATAGATGCTTATAATAAAAAACAAATTAGACGATGGCGTTGCTTCAATAAAACAAAAATTTCTAAGCGTAATTGAACAATAATGAACCTTTATAATTAGCCTAAACCCTAACCGAACCTTTGTAAATTTTTTCTTCAAGAACCGTAAACCAAAACGTATCCATTATAATTTTTTACATTCTGAACCGTAACCAAACCGAACCGTTATAGCCGGATCGGGTAGAGAATTTACATAAAAATTAATGCCGGGACGGGTAGAATTTGAAAAAATATCAAGGCCGGTCAGGTCGAGAATTTATAAAAATAAAATGGGACAAATTTGTAACTCAATATTACTAAATGGTATATAGTGTAGTGGGTGGGTAATGTAAATTTTTTTAAATTTTATTTGAAGATAAAATAAATACAAAAAAAATTATAGCAAACTTGGTTTATTAAATCGTGATTTTTTTATTACAAAATATCATTGATTTAAATCACGATTTTTATTACAAAATATATTTGATTTAAATCGTGTTTTTTAAAAAAAAAACAGTTATTAGAATCGGATTTTTTTCTCTGTAATCACAAAGATGAATGCATGGAAGCTATACGCCAAATGACTTTCGAAAAATATACCAAAATTCACCAATGCCTTAGTTTGAGGTTTGTATCACATTTCACTTTTATCGAGAGAAGGCTTCCATGTTGAATGACAAAAAAAAAATATTATTTTTAAACTCCCAATTAGATAATTATAAGTAAAAAAAAAGTCTGGTCTATACCAAAAATTTTTTTATAAACCTAGACCTGGCTTATAAATTCGCCGGTTTTAATTATAATACGGGATCGGTATCCGTTTTAATATTCGGTAAATTTTAGCTAACCGAGATTGCCCACCATTTTGAATACGAATCGAATAACGAATTATTCCTACTCGATTCTTTTGAGCGTATAGAGAATAGTTTATTATTCGTTATCAAATAATTTGTCCTGCCCAAGCCCTATCCGGAAATCATTTTTTTTTTATTTGTCCTGAAAACCCCGACAAAAATGGAAATTATTTGTCTGCCCGGCCTAGACCGAATTTTTTTTATAACAATATAACCCGGTTCTCGTAATTCGCGTATCTCAAATACGAATAACCGTTAATCGATTTTTGAATGGGCCCTAATTATAATATAGGTTAATTAGGCTAAGATGCCATCTATTATGTTATTTTGCATTGATATATAAAAAGTGAAATTTTAAAAAATGAAGCGTTGTCGCGGAGAAATTGAATATGAATGTCGCGGAAGCGGAAAAGTGGATCGGCAACCTCGTCGCGACCACCAGGGTCGATGTTAAAATTGAATACAGTAAGGTTTGAAAAACTATTTCTCTTCTTTTCCCCTTCACCCGATTACCAATATTGTTATTTTTTTATATCTCCGAGGTAAATTTATATATATATAAAAAGAATAAAAATAATTATAATACATGTTACGTATATATTTATACAATTATTTTTTAAATAAAGGGTCACGTACTAATGAATACGCAAGTTATTCCGCCGTACCAAAAGATAATCGACAAGGCCAAAACCCTGTCCTACCACACTCAAAACATGGCTTCCTTGATAGAGAATAGGGCCCTGAGTAATATAGCCAACCCGCCCATGAATGACAGTTCGTCTGCCATGGTCTTGGGTGGAGCGACGGCCCCATCAAGTGGCTTCAGCAAAAATAACGTAATTTTAAGCTGCTTATTCTTTAATGCTAACCGTCGTTATGTTGGGGTAGGAATGTGACGCCACCCAATCCATTTTTATTTTAAAAAATGAACAGAGTTGTTAAAAGATACTTTTTAAATGGATCTAGATACAGATACATCGTCTAAAATAATATCTTGATACAGATATTTTGATCAAAAATCTATCTAGATACAGATACCACATTTTTATATCTAGATACAGGATCTAGATACTTTAACAACTCTGAAAATGAATAATCGTAGCATAGTCTAGGGTTGTTAGACAGAGCTCGTTTTGAAGTCGATTTTTAAGAACGGCTGACTCAATATTTCATCCATAAAAATATTACGCAATCCTGAAGATTTTGTTCATAGAAGGAGAACAAAGGTTCTTAGACATTATATTGTCGAAATCTCGAGACTTGGTCAATATTTTCTGGCTAAAATACTGAGTTAGCCGTTCTTAAACATCGGTTCATAACCTTTTAACAACACTAGTTCTAGTCTATTCAGCGAATTACAAAATTAGGATATAATATTTAAGTAGATTTTACCTTTTAATTTTAAATATTATTATTTTTTTTAAAAAAATAAATTTTTAAGGCTTATTACTGGAACAATCTTCAAGCTGTCTAAGAAGTCTAAGGAAAAGAAAAATACCCTTAAATTTTTTTATAATAATTTAATTTTTCGATGTATTGGTCTAAATAAAACATCAAATCTTGTCTCACAAACAGATATTTTTATATCAATTTCAACTTATTTGATAGATTTTTTTAGTTATATATATATATTTAATTATTTATGCCAATCATTTTATAAAAAAATTTTTCCCAAGCCTGGTCAACCCATAGCAATTTTCAATATTTTTTCCCAACCCGGGAGATATGTAAATCTCTAAAAACCATTTTAACCCAGCTCACCTCTACTTCAGACAAAGGCCAACCCATTAAGACTGAGAATGAATACTATTTTTATAAAAATATATTTAAATTAACTTTTACCTGAGGGCCCTATAAATATTCTGTGTTAAATATTACACCTATACCTAATTAAAAAAATTCACAAGCCAGGTCCACCCACTTGGAAAAATTTTCTCAAAAAGACCATAATAATTTTGATAGTTGAGAACTGAAATAAATAAAGTCACAATGCATTTAAAAATACAATCAGAATATGAAAGTTGCATGGGCCTTGGTATTTGATCAGGCCTGGCCATGTCTCCAAAAGAAATTTTTAGGCCAATTTTTACATATTTAAAATTAAAAAATTTTCAGGAATCTAAGACTATATTAATTTTAAAAAATTTTTCCCAAGCTACTTCCAAGTCCATATTAATTGTGAAAAATATTTCCCAAACCCAGAATAATTTATTTTTTCCTTAGATCCAGAAAAATAGGTGTGATGTAGGGGTTTATAAGAATTAAATCTGTCTAATATGTATATATTTTTTTTCATTTATATTTTTGGGAAAATTTTTCAAAATTAGGATCAAATGAAGGGGAAATATCTGATTTACCAATCATTCTACTGGTTAGCTCCTGCCTGTTATTTATATGAAAATCATGAATACATATTAAAGTACCATGCTAAAAATATGTTCTAATAAATTTTAAACAAACCATTACCCTTCCAAATGATTTATTACTTAGTTATAAAATATAATTTTTTGTTATTAAATTACAATAGAAAAAATATTATAAGTTAAGAAATAATAGGAGGTTAACTTTAATCATAGTCAAATTATATTTAAGTTAAGCAAAAAAGTTATATATTTAATCAAAAAAGTTATGAAAAATATGCATTCTACAATTAAATTATGAAGTTATGAGAAAATAAACAAAACTATGGAATGCATGTAGAAAGGCCAATTTCAGAAAAGATAAGAGAGATGCAAATATTTACTCATGCATAAAAATTACCTAATTAAGAGATATAAAGTTGTATAAAATTCAATGTGGAATGGATCCAGAAAACTCTCATCTGCAAGAATAAATTTTTAGATTATAAAATACAAATGAATAAAAATTTATTTTAAAAGACTTTTTAATTGTACACATAAATTAAAATTACTAAATATATACCTTATTAACATATTTTATAAAAATAATGGAAAATTTTTAGAATAACCCTAAATAAATACAAATTTTTAAATAACGCCTCATAAGATGGGAAAAGTTCTGATTCATCCCTCGGCAAATAAAAGAGAAAATTCTGATTCCCCATATAATGGTTTATATTTTAAATTATACATAAATTCAAGAATTAAAAAAGTATTTAAATTAATCTCGTACTCTTTGAATCGTATCTATTTGATAAATTTTGTCAGATTAAGAAAAAAAAAATATTTTTCCAGATTAAGAAGAAAAAAAAACATTTGCCGGGATTCGAACTCAAGTCCAATAATACATCTAGATTTGTAAGCGGAGTTTTTGCCCGATTGGGCCATAGGCACTTTTCAAAATTAACGATTTTTTGAATATATATTATAAAGTGGGACATGAAAAGTGTGACAGTTGTCAGCGTAATGGTATTTTTGTGACAAGGCTTTTATATATATTGTAGATCTCATTTCTCTTGCACAAATTTTTAAGGGACAGGAAGTTAAAAATCCTATTAAATGGAGGTAAAAGAAATGTTTTATATATAAATAGAATTGTTATATTCATTAGAAGTGTTTAAAATTTAAATTTTAAGGTTCGTGTACCCAGATACATGAATTTGGGATTTTTTGGTTATTTTTTTTAATCAATTAAAAGTTCTTTATTTGCTATCTATAGTTAATCCTACTGTATTCCAGAAGATGGTTCTGATCCTAACTTTAGTGGTTCATTAGATGAGGAAATTCTTGATTCAAGATCAGCAGATGTTGATTCTAACGGAAATGCGGTATTTCAACACCACTACATTCCAATTTTAAATTGTCTTTTGATAAATGGTTTCTGTGGTATAGAACTTCAAATATCACTCGCCCAAGAGGGCTAGTCTCCAGTGTGGCTACAGCGAGAGCTAATAGATTTTATAATTGCCAGTTTCCAAATGAATAAGAATTTCTTAAAGATGGAGCTTGGTTTCACATAAGATCACGTAAATGGTATCACCGTATACGTATAGTATTCCATAAACTTGATATGATGCTAATAAATCTTGGTTAACGTATATGCGAAATTTTGTAAAATAACAGATTCCATTATTAACATTTAAAATTTCAATAGCAGGTACTCAGTAAATGTAACAAGAATACGAACGCTAGGCTAAAAAAAGGAATATCAATTGACACCAAATATAAAGAAAAATATAGCAAGGGGCCGACAACGAAGAAAGAAATATGATAAGATTTAATAGCACTCAGGCCAAAATATAGTAAAATGGCGCGATGCAAAAGACCTGTGTTTTACTATTAAAAACGATTGTTTTTAAAATTATTTCATGTAAATTAATATAAATTTGTTTTATTTACATTATATTTATCAAAATAATAAAATTAGATTTCTTAATTTTGTAATAGGTTTGAAATTGCACATGGTATATTTAAATACACACACTGAAATTTTTTTTTTACGGTTAAGGGCCGGCCATTTAAAGACAAAATTAAGTTTTTTTAAATAAAAATTATACCAATTATTGATATGTCGGGCAATATAGGGTTAATCACAGAAACAATTTAGATTTTTATGGTTCATTATTGGGAAACGCAACTCAGCTCAAAAATTAGTTGGCACTTTTATATCGCGTCTGTTTTTCAATCAAATATTTAGTAATTGTTGTATCGCATAAAAGTAAATTGATTTTCGATAGAAACGCGATGAACACCAAAAAAATTGGAAAAATTTTATTCAATTAAAAGTCTATCAGCTTTCACAAGGCTGCTTTTTTATTTATAAGATTTTTTTTTTCAAAATTCCTAAAATTCTCTACTCACTACGATAGAACCCAATGTTCTTAGAGAAATAGCATCTATCGGGAATCAAGATGAGAATAAATGCATCAACTAGGCATAGCTTGGCATCAAGCCAGGATACCCCTCCAAACATGTTGATCTTGGGTATAATATACCTCGCTATTGATATCAAATCCACCTTCAATTTTTTTTAAAATTTGGGCAAGCAAAGACACTATGATCTAACTAAGAAATTAACTAAAATTTTAAGCCTCCTAACTGTCTCAAAATCTCTTCATTTATTAATTATATAATGATTATTTAATTTTTAACGTAACCCATCAATCAACAAATATTACGTATTTTTGATTGGACGAAAATTATAATAATGTGTCTTTGTTTTTGAATATATTATATTGATTATTCTTAAATTTAGACTAAGATATTAGATTAAAAATCCACTTTATGCATCAACCATAGTAATTGTATAAAAGAAAGATAAAACATTAGGAATTTATGGGGATTTTAAAAGAACTATATTTCAAAATATTAATATTGATTCATACCCAATACCAAGAAGAATCCAAGATTTATTATACCCAGTTTGGGAAAAGCAGAGTAATTTTTAATATTGAATCTCTCAGATGCCTATTTTAAAATTAAAGTGGGGGAAGAGTCTCAAAAATATCTTGTAATCAATACGCAAGAGGATTACTTAAATAAACAAGACTATCTTTTGGTATATCGTCTTCTCCAGCAATATTTCAACGAGCTATAAAAAGGTTTTGAAGGAGTAGCTCGTTATTTAAATGATATTACAATAACCGGGAAAAATGGAGAGCAACAAGAAACAAATTCCTAAAAAGGTAATAAAATGTCTAGACAAAATGGAATCAAACTAAAAATTAAAATGTAAATTTTTCAAACAAAATGTCGAGTATACTACTTAGGACACAATATTTCAAAAAACGGGATTACAACTACAGAAAAATACTGGAGCAGTAAAAAAATCACCAGAATCAACAAATCTAAAACAATTACAGTTATTTCTAGGGTCAGTAATATACTATTCAAAATTTATTCCAAATTTTGCAGACAAAGCCAAACCATTTTACAAATTATTAGAAAAAGCAGTAGTTTGGAGATGGACAGATGAATAAAGCAAAAAGTATTACTTGAAATATTACAACATTATGATCCAAAATTACCCATCATTATATTAGCAACAGATACGTAAGCCATAAATTGGGAAATTAATATCACGGAAGAGGGTAAGGAGAGACCATTCGCATTCTCCTCAGGAATGCTAAATGCAGCGAAGAAAAATTATGGTCAAATAGAAAGAAAAGCTCTTGCCATCATGTTTGGGGTTACAAAATTCAAAGAATTTATATAAGGAAAAGAGTTCACATTAAAAACAGACCACAGGCCATTAATGAGTTTATTTCATTCAAGAAAAGTATACCAACAACATCATTATTAGCAGGTTACCAATATGAAATAGAATTCAAAAGTAGTAGAAAACTAGCCAATGCTGACATATCTCGATTACCTTTGCAGGGAAATGTAATATTAAAGGAAGAATCACTAGATCAAATATAGGTGGGAGAACAAACACCATTATACGCAAGCGAAATTGAAAGAAAAACAATGCAACATGATTTACTCTCTAATAAAGTATACTGGTATACAATAGACGGGTTGGCCAATAAACTATGAAACATATTTAAATGAGTATTGCCAAAGAAGAGAGGAAATCACGACAGAGAGAGGGGTTGTTTACTATGGAGAACTAAAATGATAATACCACAACAATGCCTAAACAACGTGTTAGACATGATACATCAACGACAT